GGTGGCTGCAATGATGGGCTCAAGTATAGCAGGGACTGTGGGACTGGTGCGGGATCGGGCAGTGTTTCGTTCTGCTGTGCATGGTGTCGCTATGAGTCGGAAACGACTCGATGGCCCTTAACAACAACAACAACAACAACAACAGCATTACATCTACAGGGAGCTGCCAGAAATTTAAGCCAAATTCAGAAGAGGGCATGGAAATGAGGGATATCATTGCTGACGTCAGATGGATCTTGGCTGAAAGCAAAGAATACCAAGAAGATGTTTACCTGTGTTTTATTGACTATGCAAAGGAATTCAGTTGTGTGGATCATAACAAATTATGAATAAATTGTGAAAAATAGTAATTCCAGAACTCTTAATCGTGCTCATGGAGGACCTGTACTTAAACCAAGAGGCAGTTTTCAAGCAGAACAAGGGGATACTGCATAGTTTAAATTAGGGTTGTGTCCTTTCACCATATTTATTCAATCTGTATGTTGAGCAAATAATCTGAGAAAGTTGACTATCTGAGAAGAATGAGACATCAAGATTGGAGGAAAACTCTTTAGTAGCCTGAGATATGTAGAAGATACAACCTTACTTGCTGAAAGGGAAGAGGATTTGAATCACTTGTTTATGAAGCTCAATGACTGCAACTTTCAGTAAGAATTATACCTCAACATAAAGAAAACAAAAATCCTCACAACTGAACCAATAAGCAACATCATAATAAATGGAGAAAAGATTGAAGCTGTCAAGCATTCATTTCACTTGGATGCACAATCAATGTCCATGGAAGCAGGAGTTAAGAAATCAAACAATGTATTGTACCAGGCAAATCTGCTGCAAAAACCTCTGTAAAGTGTTAAAGAGCAAAAATATCACCTTGAAGATTAAGGTATGCTTAAACCAAGCCATAGTATTTTCAATAGCCTCATATGCATGTGAAAGCTGGACAATGAATGAGGAAGATTGAAGAAATGATTCCTTTGAATTGTGGTGTTGATGAAGAATGAAAATACAATGGACTCCCAGAAGAATGAACAACTCTATCTTGGAAGAAGTACAACTAGAATGCTCCTTAGAAGTGAGAATGGCCAGACTTTGTATCACATACTTTGGTCTTGTTGTCAGAAGGGACCAGTCCCTGGATAAGAATATAACGCTTGGTAAAGTAGACTGTGAGTGAACAAAGGGAAGACCCTCCAATGAGATGATTTGACAAAGTGGCTGCTATGATGGGCTCAAGCATAGCAAAGATTGTGAGGATGGTGCAGGACTGGGCAGTGTTTTGTTCTGTTGTACATGGGGTCGCTATGGGTTGGAACTGACTGGCAGCACCTAACAATAACAACAACATATTATGAATCATATAGAATATTAAAAACTATGTTATAGGTTTATAAATATATATGTGTGTTTCTATGTATCTATTGAGAAAGACAGTTTGAGGAGAGAAAGTGATATACAAGGTAGAGAACAAAAAGTAAAGAATTTTTCATTCTAATTAAAAATAGATATATTTTTAATGTAGTTTCCAAGTTCCTGAAGAAAAGAGAACCTATAGCTTAAGTTTCCTCTGAATGGCCCAACACATTATTTTAGTACATAAATGGAAACATACACACACACACACACACACATAACAATATATGTTTCCATTTCCACATTTACTTCACAGTTTTAATTGATCTGATTTCTTACAAATAAATGTAAAACTCTTACGATTCTATGATGGTGCAAAGCTGTGGCAAAAGTGATGCTGAAAGGCGGCAGTCCTGGAGGAAGACCCACTGTGGTGTTTTGGTTAGTGCCTTCACAATAAGGTCTTCTGCTTTAGCTGCCTGGCCACAACCCAAAGAAATTATGGTCACATGATGTGTTGTTCCTTTGAACTCTTGTGCAAATCTCAGGAGAATGCTGGTAGGGTCAATTCCTGTATGTGGGGAAGTACAACTATTAACTTACTTAATTCCATCTTTAAAAACAATCCAGTATTAATTGAGTGTAGTGGGAGAAGGTAGCCATAAGGGAAAGATTATAGGCTTTGAAGTTAGACAAAGTCCAGAGTTCAAATTCTGGCTTTCTTTGTTATAGCTGAGAGACCTTGGTTTTCTAGCACATGGAGATAGTAATATTTACCTCAGTAGTAACTGCTAGTTGTCTACGCCAACATTTATTTGCCTCTTCCTCCTCTGTAGATGAACCTCAATGTTATTCGCGATGGCTGTGTACCCAGCTGAAATACTAAATTTTTAGCCTCTCTTGCATCTAGGTATGGACATTTAAGTTTTGTAAGTTTTCTTTTTTCTTTTAGTTTTTATTGTGACTTGGGTGAAAATTTCCAGAGCAAATTCATTTTCTATCAACTGCAACATAAGCAGCATCACGATAAATGGAGAAAAGATTGAGGTTGCCAAAGACTTCACATTGCTTGGTTCTACAATCAACGCCAATGGAAGCAGCAGTCAGGACATCAGAAGATGTATAGCACTGGGCAAATTGGTTGCAAAGGACGTCTTTCAGATGCTGAAGAGCAAAGATGTCTCCTTGAGGACTAAGGTGCGACTGACACAAGCCATGGTATTTTCAATCACCTCATATGCATATGAGAGCTGGACAATGAATAAGGAAGACCAAAGAAGAGTTGATGCTCTTGAGCTGAGGTGCTGGTGAAGAATGCAGAAAGTACTGTGGACTGCTAAAAGAACTAACAGGTCTGTCCTGGAGGAAGGGCAGCCAGAATGCTCCTTGGAGTGAGAATGGCCAGACTTCATCTCACATACTTTGGTCATGTTGTCAGAAGGGACCATTCCCTGGAGAAAGATGTCATGCTTGGTAAGGTGGAGGGTCGATGAAAGAGGGGAATGCTCTCAGTGAGGTGGATTGACATGGTGGCAGCAGCGATGGGCTCAAGTGTAGCAAGATCATGGAGCTGGCTCAGGACTGGGCAATGTCTTGTTCTGCTGTGCATAGGGTCACTATGAGTCGGAGATGACTTGATGGCACTTAACAACAACAACAACAACACAACATACAGCAGTTCACACACATTTTGTCTCATGACATTGACTGCAATTTCCCACTATGTAACAGGTCTCTTCCCACTTCCTTCCCATAGCCACCTCTTCCCTGTGTCCTTCCGTCTCATGCACTCCTGCTCTTTGAGCTGTCTCCCTGTGCATGCACTGCCCTTCTATTCTCCCATCTCTCCAGGGAGTGTATCTACCTAATGTAAATGTTCAGCCCATATGTTTGGCTGGAAGTCACAGGAGTAGATTCAATTCCAGACCTAAAGTGCAGCTAGGGGCCATAGTCTCAGGGGTTTCACTAGACTCTATCAGACCAGCAAACCTGGTCCTTTTTTTTTTTTCCTTTTTCTATGATTTTGAGTTTTGTTCCACAATGTTCTCCCTCTCTATCCAGCATCTCCTACATAGATCCCCCTCCAAATGGTTGACAGTGGTAGCCAGGCACCATCTAGTTCTTCTGATCTCATAGTCATATAGTTGAGGATCACACAGTGTACCAGTACCTTGGACTAATTGTTTCCATATGTCTTTGGTTTTCTTCATTTTTCTTTGCTCTGGATGAGAGACCATCGTTGCATCTGGATGGCTGCTTGCAAGCTTTTAAGATCCCAGTTGCTATTCATCAAGGTAGGATGTGGAACAATGTTTTTGTACAGTATATTATGCCAATTGAGCTTGATGTCCCCTGTGAGTCTTGTGAATAAGTTTTGGCAGTAAAACTTTGTTAGCAAAAGTCTCCTTAAGCAGATGTACCCTTGTTTTTTCTTTCCATTCTGTTGTTTACAACATGAATGTGATGACTACAGCCCCTAGCTGCCATCTTGGGTTAAATTTTGAAGTAATTGACAGCACCTACTATGAGTGTGTCAGGCTTATAACTAGTGACCAGTTGCCATCAGATCCATTCTGACATAGCAACCCCATGTGTGCAGCGTAGAACTGTGCTCAATAAAGCCTTCCAGGTAGAAGAAGATTACCAGATCTTCCACCCAAGGTGCCTCTGGGTAGGTTTGAAGTGGCATCCTTTTCGTTAATAGTCAAATGCTTAACCAATTGTGCCATCCAGGGACTTAATTGGATTTATTGTCAGGTGCTTTACAAAGGAAAAAGCTCCAGGTGAGAATATCTCCAAGTGGAGGAACTCTCAACAAGGTCTTTGCTTAATGAGCTCAAACTTTAAAAATGGTGAATTCTGAAGACAAATAAGTTTGGCATCTACGAAGAACAGAAGATAATGAAGAAAATATTTTGCTTAGAGTCTATATAGCAAGCACAGGAAAAGAAAAAAAAAGAATTTTGGAAGACTACAAGGTATAAGGGCTGGAACAGGAGGGCCAATTTTAGATTATATATATGTATGTATATTATATATATATATATATATATATATATATATATATATAATAATAATTGTCAGAGCAATCCCAAATTTCAGATCAATAATCCATGTCTGGAGGGCATTTTCTGCATGGAAAATTAGGCACTGATAAGTGTTTCTATATTTGTGAATCTGGGCAGTCTTATTCCTCTTTGTTTGTTTATATTTTCAGAAAGCTAATTCTTAATATAGTTTAAAGTTGTAATTGATCCCTTTTCCAAAATACTTAAATAAGAATAGGAAAATATTTTAAATACAGACAGCTGACACTTTCAGAATTTACTTTTCCCCTTCTTTTGACTGATATTATACCATCATCTCAAGTATTCACAAAAGAGCTTACCATGAGAGTGAATAAGTATCAGTGGAGTTCTGGCATTAGATTCTTTATATGGTTCTTTCAAGTTTATTTCAGTTGTATGAAGATATTCATTTCCCATATTTTCAGTAACAAATTTTCTCACTGAATTCTTTAAACATTCTGGTCTAAGAATTTTTACCTAGAAATGAAAATACAAGGTAAGTTTAACCACCATCCACAGGAATATTCCCTATGGTAAAGTGAAACAAAACTAAGAAGTATTCATTGTTTAGCTTTTCAGTCAGCACCAGCTAGTGTTAGTTGTTGTGGGGTAGTTTAATAGGAGAGAGTCTGTGTGTGGTGGGGAATCTGCCTCCACTACTCTTGACCTTTCGGTGACACCAGGATCATGTGTGCCCCTATTTCTTTTGGACTCTGACTGAGATATTGATTTGGATGTGAAAATGCAAGTCACACCCTTGATTTTTTTGGGAAAAAAAAGAGACATTTCCCCTGCATTTCTTTCTGCTCTGCCGTACAAGTCTAGAGCAAGGAAGGCCCACCAGAGGTCCCTTCACAAGTAGAGAAATACTAATTTTTACATTAAAAAAATATTTGATATCAAATAGCACATCTGTGTGAATTTAAGCAAAATGAATGCAGATCTGAAAGGAACTCTAGAAGGGCTAAAATATTTTGGAAGCACTAAGTAGAGGTTCAGGGTCTATTGGAAATCATTACAAAATTTCAGAGCAAAGACTTTGCCCTTGAAAACTTTTATGTAAGCCACTTATGTGATATTTCTTTATAAAATGATCATGAATTTTGTCCTGAACATTTTCAGCACCAGGGACTCTATCACTTAAAGCAGAGTTTAAACTATATGGATCTGAATGGATGTACTAGGCTGAATGAAACTGTCATTTTTATAGGTCAAAAATTGTCAAATATTGGCAATTTCATATGCTTACAACAATACATTTAATTCTTACATTGCTCTTTTCTATCCATTTTTGGGAAAAAAAAGGCTAATCTTAAAATTTTATTTTAATAGATCATATATTTTTTATAATAAATATTGGCAGCACACAAAGAATCTGAGGTGATAGTGGAGTTCACCCAGTATATTCAATTAATAAGACAAAGGTAGAACCACCCAAATGAAACAAAGGATTACATGTGGTCCCCAGACACCATTACTGCCAAGATTCTGTGTTCCCAAGCATGATAATGGTCCTTTGTCACTGTCATAGCCACTAACTCCTCCTTTACTAGTCAAGTAAATATTTATTGATTTTCTTCAGTGTTGTAATCTTTAGCCCTGAAGCTTGTTTTCTTCTTTTTTCTTTTCCTTTGTAGGGGTGGGAGAATAAGGGAAGATAGAAGAAATGGAGCTTTTCTGTTGAATTTAATTTTACTTGCTCTTTTCTGTGTAGCTACAAATAGTTTCCTCATGCCTATAGCTCTTCATTATCATTTTTTTTTACTCTTTTCTGTGCAATAGGCTATGTTGTTGTTGTTGTTATATGCCGTCGAGTTGGCCCCGACTCATAACAACCCCTCCTTGGGTTTCCGAGGCAGTATCACTACAGAAGTAGGATTGCCCAACCTTCCTTCCGAGGAGTGGCTGGTGGGTTTGACCCGCCAGCCTTCTAGTTAGCAGTCAAGTGCCTTAGGCACTATGCTACCAGAGCTATAGCCCTGGAGAAAGGTGAGTGAACTAGAGGAAGTCCTTGTTCCAATGAGCATCATGATATTCTCCTACTCCATGTCAAGGCTTCTTTCTAATTTCTAATGTGGCACTCTCAAATTCTGACTCTTAACAGTTTCAGCACAGTCAATAGTCTTAGTTTCCTTATAAGCACATTTACACTTTAGCAAGCCATGTTTTCTGACTTTGGTTTTGGTCTAGCTCATAAACTAAAGTTACCTGGAACTTATTGGGGGAGATTAATGCAGTGTGATTTCTAAAATCTAGTTAATATTGCAAAAAATACTTGTTAACATAAAATTCAAGCAATACAAAAAGGCATACACTGAAAAGTGAAGATACTACCTCTTAGATAGCCACTATTGTTTCTTATATAATTTTCTGATGCACATGCAAGCATCTACTTCCCCTCTTTTTAATTTTTTTCCAAAAAAATGGAGTTATACTGTATAGATATTCAGTATTTTGCATTTGCCAATTAATATAGCTTAAATATCTTTCCATGTACTGAACAATCTACCATGTACAGTAGGGTACCAATCTGTCTACACTTGCTAAGTAGATAACATAAGCTAAAGATGTAGGTTGGATAGAAGAAATAAAGATCAGCTTCAGTGTCAAGAAGATAATAGGTAGCTGTGGAGACTGGTGCATGACCCATGGGCAGACATTACTCAGCTTAAGCTATTGTTGCCTTTGGGGAATATGGGCAACAATAGCTAGAAGAGAGTAGTGTCTGACTCATAGGCCCTGATGAATGTTAGTAGCCATTTTGCTTACTATTTGCACCTTTGTTTTTTCTTACAGAGGAGATTTTTTTCCCCCCAACTCAACAGCACCGAACAATAGCTTGGGAAATTGTTGGGAAAGTAAGTTCGACGTAGTACAGATCTTAAAGCCAATTTAAATTTCAGTCCTGTTTCTGTCAGGTAATTTCTAAACTTTGGTTACTTAATCTTCCTCCTAAGATTATTGTGAAGATGAAATGAAGTAATGCAATTAAAGTACATTGCATATACTAAGCTTTCAACACCCATTTGATCCCTAACCACCCCTATCTTAAACCTCACATCCCCAGCCAAATGCTGAAGAAATTGAGAAACAGAGGTGTCAGGCAAAATATCACCTTTATTAATAATAAAGGCCATGCTGGTAGATGTGGTTTAGGTGTGAACCAAAAGTGTGCTTCCTGATACAGAAAACTGAACTAGACAGGTGGACAGACTTTCCCATAAACAGTGCTGAGCAACCATTGGCTGCCTCCTATAGGGTCAGGGTCTGTTCCTGTATAACTTGTGGCATTAGAGGCAAGCGAAGGGGCTGAACCATGTACTTTCAGTTCATCTTTCAAATTTACCAATATTATAAGTCTTTCTTCCTCCCCAGGAAGGAGTGAATGAGGGGACAAGAGATGTCAGGAGTGTTACTCTACTTGAACTCCTTCCATGTGAAAGTACCATTAAGAGTGAAATGTAAATGCTTCTTTCAAACATTAATGTTCAGTAAACGTTAGCTTTTAAAAATTGATATATTATGCTTATAAAATTTTAATTAGAAAGGTTTTAGTTAGTAATAAAGTTCTCAAAACATTTAGAATATTAATTATTATTATTTTTTTTTTTGTCATAGCAGATCTTACCAAAATAAGTCTTTGAAATGAAGTGAGTTTCTCCCAGGGAAAATTTATAGGACTACACATTTCTTCATCATCATTCAGAAGTTCAGCTAGGTTTAATTCAGAGAAGGAAATTGAGATTAACAATCAAATACTTAGGATCACTAAAGATACCACAATGAAAATTTTGTCATGAATTTGTGACTTTTTTTTTTTTTTTGTATTTAACCCTTCACCCATATCAACACCTGTCTCTTGACTATTCATCTGTTTTCCTTTCCTTCCCTTCCCCTCCCATCTTTGGTAACCAACAAAGAAAATTTCCTTCCCTGTGTAAACTTTTTCTTGACTTTTTATAATAATAGACTCATATAATATTTGTCCTCCTGTGATTGACTTATTTCACTCAGTATAATATCCTCCAAGTTCATCCATGTTATGAGGTGGTTCACTGATTCTTCATTATTCTTTAATGTTGTATAGTATTCCACTGTGTGTATATACCATAGTTTGCTCATCCATTCATCTGTTTATGGGCACTTAGGTTGTTTCCATCTCTTTGCTATTGTTAATAGTGCTGCAATGAACATGAGTGTACATATATCTATTCTTGTCCCAGATCTCACCTCTGTAGGATATGTTCTTAGTAGTAGACTGCTGGGTAAAATGGTATTTCTATTTCCAACTTTTTCAGGAAGTGCCATACCATTTTCCACAGTGGTTGTACCATTTTACATTCCCACCAGCAGTGAATGATAGTTCCAATCTTTTCACACCCTTGACAGCTTTTGTTGTTTTCTGTCTTGTTGAAGTTATTGACTCTTATCTTACAGTATAATAAATACTGTATCCCATATGAGATAGTGACAAAATACGATGAACAACAATGACCCAGTGAGAAAAATTGAGAGGAGGAGATTTTCTTACTCAGAGCTAGAAATCAAGAAGTTATAAAATAAAATAATAATAATAATAATAAAACCAGTATTGACTATACAAACATTTAAACATTTGTGTGGTACAGATGGGAGCTCTGGTGGTGTAGTGCCTAAGGCATTTGACTGCTAACTGGAAGGCTGGCAGTTCAAACCCACCAGCCACTCCTTGGAAGGAAGGTTGGGCAATCTACTTCTGTAGTGATACTGCCTTTGAAACCCAAGGAGGGGTTGCTATGAGTTGTATCTGACTCGATGGCAGTGAGTTTGTTTTTTTTTAGTTTATGGTACAGACGCTTTAAACAAATCAACCAGACAGTTAAGAGACAAGCAAATATGTTTGAATGAAGAGGTTAATATCTATAATGTTAATAGAACTCTTACAGATTGACAAAAAAGGGATAAACAATCCAACAGAAAAATAGGCAAAGTATATGAATAGGCAAACCCAAATGGTCAACAAACACTGAAAAGATACTTAAACTTGGTAATAGTCAGAGAAGTTCAAATTAAAGTATTCTAAGCTTTTCAGATCGGCAAAAGTTAAAAAATTAATACCCCTATTGGAAAAGAGGTACTCTTTATAATGCTGGTAGAAATATAAATTTTTATAGACTTAAAAAAAAAAAAATAGAGAGTAATCTGGCAACAACTACTAACATAAAAAATAATATACCTACTTTTGACCCAGCAATTCTACTCCTGAATTCTACAGAAATAGAAATAAAAAGAAATAAAATATTTTTAAGTACATTTGTGTTACTATATAATTATTTATTGTGGCAAAAATATGGAAAGAAACAAATTACGTTGGATCCTGAGTTGGGCGAACTGGCAGGGAAAGCAGAGATCATGGTTCCAATAGATAAACAAAAAGGAAAACCTATGCTTAAGCATTGCAAGTTAAGTAAGATTCATTTCCTCTGTAATTTTTACAAGCACATAGGTGGTATGTAAAATGAATGTATGTAACCTTGCTCAGATTCAAGGTTCAAAGCTAGGTGGTGCAATGGAACTACATTATAGTGTGGTCTATTAATCTTTCTGAAACTAATTTATCATCTCATGATGGAGTTTATAATAATCACTTCATAAGATTGTTATGAAGATTAGATTAAACAACATGTGAACATGTTAACCAGCAAATCCACTGCCATCCAGTCAATTCTGACTCACAGTGACCTCCTTTGAGTTTCCAAGGTTGTAAATCTTTACATACGTAGATGCCCTATCTTCCTTCTGTGGAGCAGCTGGTGGGTTTGAAGCGCCAACTTTCTGGTTAGCCTTAGGTTCTGCACCACCAGAGCTCTGCTGTGAATGTGTTAGGACATGATTACGTTCCTTCCTTTAATTTTTTAATTATGTATAAAATATTAGGCTACTTTGTAGAATGAAAGTCTACATGCACACATATATGTAATTAAGGTAAGACATTGAATATTTTCTTACTTTTCTCCAGGGAAGTCTTTTCTGATTGGAAGGGTGTGCTCATCAGAAAATCTATAGCCTTACTGTTATTGAAAGCATCCCATTGTGATTTATTTGATAGAAGGGATTTGGATAGAAGTGAAAATGGTTCTAGCTGACTGCTGACATATTGGCACTGCTTCCACCTGGATTCTGACAGCCACTGAAGATGTTGCTTTTTACATCTTTCAAATATGTCTAAAGAGATCACATTAGAAAAGATAAATTCATTACCATTTTGTTACTCATTACAAAGTAGAAGTTTAATAAATATTTGTTGTTGAGAAAATCCACTTTTTATAAAAATGAATTTCATAAGGTACTTTGAAAAGGACATTTAAGTTTTAAAAATGATAGTATTTGATTAAATCTTGAACCCTGGTAAATTTTAAGATCCTTTCCTTTTTGTTCATCATGGTTCATCATAGTACTTACTATTTATTGTAAGAAAAAGTTGGAAACAACCTATTTGTGACTGGGAGCTCTGGTAGTGCAGTGCCTAAGGCACTTGACTGCTAACCAGAAGGCTGGCGGTTCAAACCCACCAGCCACTCCTCAGAAGGAAAATGGGACAATCTACTTCCTTAGTGATGCTGCCTTGGAAAACCAAGGAGGAGTCACTATGAGTTGGGTGCGACTCGACGGCACATTACAACAACAACAACAACAACAAGACAATGATTAAGTAAATTTTGGTACATCCAAAATTGAAATGTTTTGCAGACATTAAATAAAGGAGTCTATTTGTTGACAGAGAGAAATATTTATAATATATTGTTAAGTTTGAAAAAATAGGAATAAGTGTGTACAACAAAGTCACTTTTTCTTTAATACTATACTTATATGTATTTAAGAAAGATTGTTGTTGTTGTTGTTATGTGCCTTCGAGTCAGACCTGACTCATAGTGACCCCTCCTTGGGTTTCTGAGGCAGTATCACTAAGGAAGTAGATTGTCCAACCTTCCTTCCGAGGAGTGGCTGGTGGGTTTGAACCGCCAGCCTTCTGGTTAGCAGTCAATGACTTAGGCACTATGCTACCAGAGCTCCTATTTAAGAAAGATAGTAGATGGAAAAGAACAGAAAAATATTCACAATGGTTTATCTCTGGATAGTGAAATTATGGATTTTTTTCTTATCTATAAAATCTAATGTTGTTGTTGTTGTTGTTATGTGCCGTCGAGTCAGCCCCGACTCATAGCGACCCCTCCTTGGGTTTCCGAGGCAGTTATCACTACGGAAGTAGGATTGCCCAACCTTCCTTCCGAGGAGTGGCTGGTGGGTTTGAACCTCCAGCCATCTGGTTAGCAGGCAAGTGTCTTAGCCACTATGCTACCAGAGCTCCTATAAAATCTAATAGTTTTAATAATAAACATATATTGCTTGTATACTAAAAATATCAATGGAAGGTATTTAATATTTTTTTACTTTTTGCCTTAAGTTACTGAGTTATTGGTATTTATTTTCTATAAGCAAAAGAATACTAATAAATCCATAAAACTATCCATTGATTCAAAAGTAATTTACCAAACATCCACTATGTACCAGGCTTTGGTATGAGTAAAGACAAACAAAATAAAACATAACTATGCACATTTCTAGTTCCTTCATAGAAACTCTTTTCATGTGTTCATTCTGTCTTCTAGTCTTTACTAATAATCTCCAAACACTTGACAAAGGTTTCTCTAAATCATTATTTGTTTCTTCCCTCAGGGAGAGTTTTATAGTTTTTTATGAGTTAAACTGCCCAACACAGAAGCATGTGGAAAGATTAAAGAGTTAAGTCATTTTGTGTAATTTCTTAAGAAAAGCATGATTTTTGTGGTTGAAATTTTCAAGGGATTTTTATCAGAAAATGAGAGCAATTATAGTTAGGAGGAGTAAAGTTTAACTCCTGCTGGTATCTAATCAATGTGTTTATCACTGTTTGATTACCATTAGATATTCCATTTAGTGGATTAGGATCATAATAACTGTAGCAATTGCCATTTATCCATTCTTTAATTAAAAAAATTACTGAGTACCAATTATGTGTTCAACAGTGCAGGGGACAATTGATAAACTGCTGGTAAATTTCACAAAGAAAATGAAAGAGAAAATGCAAATAACACAAATAAGAAATGAAATAGTTGATGTCACAGTAGAACCAACTGAAATAAAAAGGACAACAAAAGAACACTGTGAGGAATTGTACTCCAATAAATTTGAAAACCTAGAAGAAATGGACAAATTTCTAGGAACAAGCAACCTATCTAAACTAACACAGACTGAGGTAGAAAATTTGAATAGACCCATAACAAAGGAAGAGAGTGAACAGGTCATAAAAAAACTAAACTCCCAACAACAAAAAAAGTCCTGTCCCAAATAGCTTCACTGGAGAATTCTACCAAACACTCAGAGAAAAGCTGACACTAATTATACTCAACTTATTCCAGAACATAGAAAAAGATGGAATACTCCTAAATTTTATGAAGCAAGCATGACCCTGATGCCAAAGCCAGACACTGTTGTTACTGTTGTTATTAGGTGCCATTGAGTTGGCTCTGAGTCATAGGGACTGTTCTGGTTACCTGGTGCTGCTCTGACAAGAATATACCACAAATGGGATGGCCTTAACAAACAGGAGTTTATTCTTACAATTTGGAGGCTTTAAGACCAAGTTCAAGTGCCAGGCTCTAGGGG